ATACCTGCCTTGACAGGCTAAAGTCTGTCACACCCAGGCTGTTACACATCTCAGATTGTTACACATCTCAGATGGAAATATTAGAGGCTAAACTTGGAATCTTTTGCATCTGAGGAAGATATTATGCCATTTGACAAGGGCTCTTCCATTTAAAAAAGTTTCCTTGGCAATATCTCAGCTGATAGCAACCAACTCTAAATAAAATGTCACAACATATCCAGGAAAAGACTGTGTTCCTCACTGTCTTTTGTTTGTGGATTCTTAAATCTTTCCATCTGGATAAATATTTATTCGCTTGTAACCATTAGCCTGTTTTTTTTCTTCTGGATAACCTTTCAATTTATGAAATAGATTATTGTGTTTCCGTTACACTTTAATCAGCAGCCTTAGTAAAGCTTCTTGATTGACGTTTGGGATATTGGCATTTTAGAATATCAATGCGCATCTACTTATTAATGGATTCTTTTCATGCCTTTTGTAGAAAGAAGACTCCCTTGATGACACACTGAGTTCCAGGCATAAAGTCAAGGAGCTTTCAGTAATAGATGGTCGAAGGGCTCAGAACTGCAATATTCTGCTCTCAAGGTATCACTAATGCATTTCCCTTCTTTTGTAGGAACAAGTCCTCCTGAGCCTTCCTATGTAAGACGTTCTCTGAAAGATCGAAAGCCTCTTTGATGGCCAGGCCTCTTTGGTGCTCATTTTCTTTTATAGAGACAGACACCGTTCTATACATTACATATTTGCCTATAGCAAGATTAAATTAGATTCATGGTGGTTGCAACTCCCAGTGGCCACAAATAGGAAATGAAAAGAAATGGATTACTAGAGGGTCTAAAGTGGAGTCAACCCAGAAAGGAACTCCACTTTGGCTGCAAGAACAGAGGTCTTCTGGCATCCGTTGCAGTCTGCTCAAAAAGTGGCTCAAAAAAGTATACTTCGGAACAGCTTTATTCCTAAAAAGAAAATTGTACTGTATGTAGAAAAAACAGCAAATGTTGAGGAGAGTCTGTACAATTGCAAATTCAGGCTTTTTTAAACATAAAAAAAATTGCAGACAATAGCCAAAGATGTAATTTGGGCTGCTGCACAGATATTTAGACTTCAGTTATAATTATCTATATGGCACCACCCAATTCAAAAAATGGTGCTTCTGAATTGCAGAAAGGGCAGCAACAATGTATGTTTGAATGACCACTGTGTAAAAGTTTTGTCTTCCACCTACCCCAGTAATCCTTTAATATATAATTGTGTTCTCAGTATCCATGTGTTTAAATGCTTCAATTACTTTAAGTAGTGATTGCCATCTTTGCACCCAGAATTGATTCAATGCACAATCCAGAGCAAGGCAGCAACCAGAATTGAAGGCAGCCAAATTAGAGTTTAATTGGAATGCACTATTCTAGCCACCATCACTGTGCATACATTTTCTCCCTCTCTGCCTGTTAAAAATGTGTTGACCTGCATGTTTTCAAATGTGGCAGAGGAGACCAGCAGGAATTATTTGCAGTGGGGATGATGTAGAGAGGGCGACGCTAATGCCGTGTTTCTTCCAGGCTAGCCTACCTGCCAGAGGCTATGAGGATAAATTTGAGTTTGAGGTTCATATATTGTGAATAAGCCAATTCTACATATTTTCATCTGGGAGGACCATGTGATATATCTAGACAATTACAGTTGAAATACACTGTAACTGTTTTTCTTCTTGCACTGTTGAATTAAGGAAAGATTTTACACATGATCATCAGGCCAGCTCTTTATTTATTCTGCACATTTATAAAGCAAACCAGATATTGTTGGCATGCATCTCTGAAAAGTTCAGCCTTACTAGATATTTTATCTCTTTCTGCCTTGATCTCTAGCTCTGGGAAAAATGGTTGGACAGTGAGGTCATATTAGATTTCTTCTCGAACTAGGAAATATTTTTGGTTTTTCACCCTCCCACCTCTTTCTTATGAATGTAATATGTCCATATATGGTTTTGCATTTTGGGGTTGATTCTTAAACTGTATTGAACGAACCTAGACATTGTTCTTTGCACCTGAGTTAGATGTGCTCATGTTAGCTCTCATCCTTCGCTGGCTTTATAAGTCCTATTGAGGATCATTGGCAGCATACTCTGAATACCAGCTGTGAGTGCTGTCACCTTGATTTATAAACTTCCCAAAAGGATCTCTTTGGCCACTGGGAGAAACATGATGCTGGATTAGATAAAGGTAGTTTGATCCAGCACTGTTTTTCTAATGGAAATGGTGGTGGTCAGGCTTAGCAACACTCTTTAATTAATTGCATCTTCCTTAATTTCAGTGTGTTTAAGATCCAGTTTTCAAATATTCATTTGTTTCATGTGCTTCCACTATTCCAGAATCTAAAATAACATCCCTGAAGTTGGGCAGCTTAGATTCCAGGCCTTGCATCTCAGATAAATCCATTTCAGAGTGGCAGTATTAATTGTTTCCCCGGATGCTTTCTCAGAAGAAGCTCAAAATGCCTGTGCTTCATTTCATTCAGTTTTCAGGCCATCTCCCACCCAACTCTCTGATTAGAAATTCTCTCCAAGCCATTTACCATTCCGGCTTCCTCATGGAAATGGAGCATCCTATGACTTTGACATTCTTCACACACGCATGAAACTTCCTGGATTCACTTTTCTTCTCTCTCCCTCTTCCCAGGTGATGAGAGTACTGCTTTCCATAATGCTAAAGACAACAGTGTCGCCACTGAAAAGGGTATTGAAAAGTCAGAGTGGGTAGATTTGCCATGCCCAGATATGATGTACTGGAGCCATCTCAGGAGAGCTGATGGTTAAATATCCTGGAATTCCCAGCTGAGACATGATGCCTAGTCCTCCCTCCCTCCCTCAGCTGTTTGGTAGCTATCCATGCAATGCAGCAGTGGCAGTAGAGCCAGTTGTTATGCCTTTATCAGCACACCACTGGCTACACCTAAGCCTTTTTCCTGGCACAGGCAAATGCTTTTCATTTTGAAGCATAACTAGTCAGCACCTGGTGCTTTCCCTTTCTTCCAGATATAATTCTTTCCAGACCCTAAATAGCTGATCAGTTTTTAAAGTTGCTCTGCAACACAGATTTATCCAGTTTCTTAATAAGTTACTACCTAGGAAAATATTACTTTCCTTTTATATATCTGTCAAAAATCTTTCTGCACTGGCTTGTCTCTGGTTGCAAAACGTTCCCCACCCCAAAAGTGTATTCTGAACCTGTTCAAGTTATGCACCCTCCCTTCTATTTTAACCCTCACGAGACTATCTGTTTGTCTCATCAAAGTTAAGCACACCCCTTCAACATCTCTTGCAAGCTGTTGCATCCCATCAACAAGTTTCATCATTTAAATCCTTGTGACAGCCAGTGCTGTAACTACCTTCCATCTCAGATAGTCTGTGCTTAGCAGCAGCTGCCAACAAAGATAATTACTGTAGTTTTCTAGACAGGCCTACTGCTTTTGCTGGCCTCCTTCCCCCTGCATTGTCAAAGAAGAGATTTTCCTATCTCCCTCCCCATCCCCTCCTATAAATGTTCTCAAGGGGCATCTTCATGCAGGGTTTGTGTATCTTTGTTTTTCCAGGCCTAGAGTGTGAGGACCAAACTCACCTCCCATACATAAAAACCCCAAGACAGTCTTGCTGACACAGCAATGATTCTTTGCAAGTCCATAGAGCAGGCAGTCTCCAGAGTCCACTCCTTGGAGAGAAATACAGAACCTCTTGCAAAATATTCATTTCCCTAATTCATTATTCATTTCACTGCCAAGGGCAGACTCCAAGTTTCCGCTCTCCACTCTGTCACACATACGCATAGATCACGATAAGTTTGTTAATGCTTATTTATTAACTAACCAAAAAGGAAAATCAATCCAATTAAAAGCAGCATAAAGGTAACATTTAGAAATGTAGCAAATTTTACAGTATTGAGATAGATAGACAGACAGACAGACATTCCAAGATCTGCTGCAAGATAAATAAAAAAACCAGGCAAAATAACCAGAGAATTATTTAATTCACTAAATTAAGAATGTGCTCGCTAATCATGTTGTGTTTAATTTCTTGCCTGAATTTTGAAACAGTCATATAACTTAGATAGTTGTAATTTCTGTTCATATTAGCATTAATACCTAAGAATGAGAGCTATAAATAAAAGTCACCCCTGCACTGATCCCCATCAGAAATAATGTAAAAGGGGGAATAAAATGGCTGTGTTTTAAGGATACCACTGGCAAACCCCCACAGTCACATTAGCTGAGATGAAACTCTACAACAATTAAGAAAACCTCTTGCTGTGCTCACTGTTGTTAGCACAGTAGTGAAAAAAGCCAGTTAGGCTAAAGGTACAGAGAAACTGTATCAAAGGATTCACCACTTCTAACCTTGCTAAATCTCTGAAGCGAGATGATGGATCTTCCAATTACAAGCGGTCCACTAACTCTATCCACTAACGCAGCGGTTCTCAACCTATGGGTCGCGACCCCATTTGGGGTCGATCGACCATTTCACGGGGGTCGCCAAGCAAGGCTGTCTGCCATTTTTTTCCCCCTTTTCCGGCGGGTGCCTTACCTCCCTTGGGCTGGGCCAGCTGGTGGTCGGCCTGCTCCGTCTCTGCTGCTTGCCAGCTATGCCTCGGCCGGCACAGGGGGCGGAACCACGCATGCACGGCACTCCCGGGCAGGGAAAGTCCTCGAATTACGACCGGTTGGGTAGTCCTCGACTTACGACCAGTTTAGTCCTCGACCTACGACCAGTTTAGTCCTCGACTTACGACCGGTTGGGGGTCGCGGCATTAAAAAGGTTGAGAACCACTGCACTAACGCCTAACTTTGGATCAAGACATCTTTCCCAGAAGAGTTCCGTGTTGAGTCACAGTTGGAAACAGTGGTAAATAGGATGTGAGAACATATTCATGAGTGAGGCATTTTGTACATGCTGTTTGTAAATTGGTCTTATATAGAAATAAACTTTGTGAAGCTGGTTTCTTAACAGAATAACAGAGTTGGAAGGGATCTTGGAGATTTTCTAATTCAAACCCCTGCTCAAGCAGGAGACCCTATGCTATTTCAGACAAGTGGTTGTCCAGTCTCTTCTTATTCTCCAGTCCCTGATTTAAGAGCTTTGCCTGCTTGAAGAAACATCCTTCTCTTTCTTCTTCCAATGGGACATTTGTAATTTTTAAATTGCACAAATCACCTGTTGCTATGTACAGGTACAGAGAAAAGCACCAAGCAAAATTCATAGAAAGCTGTGCGAAACAAAGTATTCATGCATGGTGTAAATAATTAAATATGAAGTTTATATATAATATAATATTTGGTTCAGTGATTAAAGTGCTAGACCAAAAGTCAGAAGACTGTAAGTGCTAGTCCTCCCAGCTAGGTGACTTTGAGTTAGTTGTTTTCCCTCATCCCACCCCCCTTCACAAGATTGTTGTTCTAGGTGAAATAGAAGGAGGGAGAATTATGTACCCTGGCTGGAATTCTATAAAATAAAGTTGGGATGTATAACGAATAACAAAAATAATAAAATGATTAAGGAGAGGAACACAAGTTTCTTTTAAAAGTCAGCTGGACTCTCTCAGAAAAAAAGTCACCTGGACTCTCAAAAAGTCTAGTGCACATGTATTTAGTACATTCCATGTTTCTCCAACTGATACTTCAAGTTTAGTGTTTGGTATTATATTCTGGATGAAATGGGAGCTGAGGTTATAATATAAGTCATTCTGCTTATAAATTCCTTATCAACCTTTCGTAGTCAGTTCAAAAGAAAGTAGAAGATGGAGAGCTGGTTCAACTTCATTGCCCTCCAGCCTCTTTCCTGGGCAACATATTAGAAATCTTACCTTTCCACCACTTGTTTTGAATTCTTGCTGTTGTTTTTTGCTTATCTTTTTCTACTTGCCTCCAGAAGTTTTTAAAAAGAGATTGGACAGCAATTTGTCTGAAATGATATGAGTCTGTTTACATTGGTTTGCCCTGAAGGCAATTTTTGCATGAGAAGAGATACATAGCTAACCCAGCCCTATAACAACCCATAGTTTATGAGTAACTTATGATGTCAATACCTTTCTAGTCTCTAATAGTCAACTTTTTATGTTACTGTTTTTATTGAGTTGGGTACTTTCCTGACCGACTAACATGCTTATGTAACAACATTCTGTTGTATTGCCTTTCCAGGCTTAAACTATCAAATGATGAAATTAAACGTGCAATTTTAACAATGGATGAACAGGAGGACCTGCCAAAGGATATGCTTGAACAGGTGAGTACAGAAGGTGGTCAGTTCTTGACAGAAATGTTAAAAATGCAAGTCCAGAATTCACCATCCGGCATCTCTGCTTCCACTCTTCCAGGGCCGTTGGGTTTTTTTTTCCCCTCCTGATCTATGCAAGTAGAATAATTTAGCTGTGAGCTAATGAAGGAACGAGGAGATGTGAAATGGTTGCTCAGCCTTAAGAAAGTAAAAAATGTGAGAAAGAGACTCAAAAGAGCTCCACCTTAACCTTGTTGTGTTATTTAGCAGCTTTCAAGAAGCATGTCTTTTGAAGAAAAATTAGAAAGTGTAGGAAAGAAGTCTCCTTTGATGCCATCTGTAAATGATCCTCCATGCCACACACACACACACACACACACACACACACCATATTCATAGACTGCTATAGGCAGAGTTGTGGCTGATAAGTTCTATCCCAGCTGAGGAGTCAAACTGGGTGAAGAAAAATCACCCCACCCTAGCAGGTGACTAACCTGATCTGCCTGGAATGAAATCTCTGTTTTTGGCAGTTCATTCTGTATTGAAGTTTTACTGGCTTTATAAAAAGGGAAGATGGGAACGTGATCTACCTCAACATAATCTTTTAAGACATCCTTTCAGTTTTGTTGTACATTGCCCAGAATCAGTTGCTATGTGAGATGGGTGGCTATATAAATTAGATCAGGGGTGTCAAACTCGCAACGTCACATCACATGTCGTGACGTATCACAACTTTTTTGCCATTGCTAGCAATGGAGTGGGCGTGGTTTTGCTATGATGCATCTGGCCCACGGGCCAGCAATTTGACACCCCTGAATTAGATAGATGGATAACTAAATAATTCAATCCCAAGTGTAACTCTCATCCTTTAAATGGATGTTACCTCTTGACTCATGTAGTCCTCAGCCTACTCAGCCTTTCTGCATAGCCTATGGTGCTCAAATGAACCCTAATCACTGAATCCAATTGCCCACCTGGTTAGCCATTAGCTGGCTGGGAGGGAGGGAGGCAGCCAGGCAGGCATGTAAGATTACTTGTATCCAGGGAAATAGCAATGGGACTCTTCATGATGGAACTCTCCTCCATCATTCCCACTCAAAATACAGGTAATCCTCACTTGATCACATTTCAGATGATTGGCTACTGACTCACATATACAACTGGTCACAGCATACCATGGCAATTGCAGCAGCAGAAAATGGCAAAAAATGCCCTTTGGATATGCTGGATTTGCTTAATGACCATGCATAACAACCATGGTAACTCACTTAATGAACACTGTAAAATCGATTCAGGTCATATAGTGACCCACTTAATGACTGCAATGACTTACGTCCACAATTCTGGGCTCTATTGTGGTCATAAGTCGAGAGCTATCTGCACTGTTGGTAATAACTGCAGCTAGGATCCCTCTGTGAGGGAGATGGGCAGTTAAGAAATTTGAGATAGATAGATAGATACACATACATGTATACATAGTCCTCTCCCCAATTATTCTTAAAAGTGGAACGGGTATCTTAACAATCCCATACATTGCAAGTTCATCCATCTATGTTCCCAGGTCACCAATGAGAATTCTCCACTAAAAAAGTTTTTCTTACCCACCTCCTCAGTAGAAAATTTTGAAGCCTACATAGCTGAGCTTTTTTTTGTGCTGTAAGAAGTTGAATTCCTGAGAGAAGATTATTCATCTAAAATACCCATTTTTCTTTTTTAGCTTTTAAAATTTGTTCCTGAAAAAGCTGACATCGATCTTCTGGAAGAACACAAGCACGAGTTGGATCGGATGGCCAAAGCTGACAGATTTCTCTTTGAAATGAGCAGGTGATTTTGCCAGCTGCTTTCCCTTCTACCATTGTTGCTGTCTGCATCAAAAACAGGGACTCAATAACCAGGGGAATGTGTAGAAAGGAGATCTGTTTTCCTAGCCACATAGTGTTGAAGTGTTGAAGAAGAATCTGAACTACAAAATTACAACCTGGGCTTTTCATACTGCTGAAATTGGTATTCTAGTATAATGAGATTAATTTGGTTGATGTAATTATTACTTTGAGGGAGGAAAGAGATAAATACAGAAAATGAACGATATGGAAAGGCATGCCTCACTTGTATTAAGGATTTGAGAAAAGGGCCACAGGAAGCTTTGGGAGATAGAGCTCTTTAAAGAGCTTACAGGCTAAAGATTTTCCATTGTTAGTTTAATTTCAATGTATTTTCTTTTGGAA